AATATTTACTAGGTTTATCAATAATCCGTAGAAGTGTACTCTTTTGAAGAGAACAACACAATAAATTATTAGTGTTGTATCATATACCAAATTTAGCACGTCCAATTTTCTGTAATTTTAGCGCGTCTACATTATGAAAAAATCACCTCACATAAATAGTTTTCTTCAAAATTTTGAATGGACGAAGCAAATGCTGCTATTATATTTGTGATATTGGACATTGTGATATTGGCAAAGGCCAAATCGGCTTTTTTTTTTTAAAGATCCATAATGGACTTTAAAACACCAACATTTAAACTTCCATTTAATTAAATTTAAAGTTCACAAATGATCTTCAATTATAACCCGTAAAAGTGCAATAATTTATTTTCTAATTATAGTTTCCAGAAACATAAAAATTACCTATAAGACATGGAATAAATTATGTTTGATAGAAATGAATAGATTTCTTGTTTTTGAATTTTACATGAAATAATTACATAAATATGACCAAAATAAAGATGATTTACAAAAATATGATTAGTTACTAGAGTAGTAATGAAATCATAGTAATTCATGTTCAAGTTTTGAACTTAAGTTACTACAACACCACATTGTAGTAATGAATAGTCATATTTATGTAAATAAGTTTTATTTTAGTAATATTCTTATAAAAACCTCATTTTACATTAACCATGTTTGGTGATGCAGTGGAAAGTATAAACATAACCGTTGTCGTGATATTCATCCAATCGATACATTTCTCGATACTTATTCTTATTTCAACATTAGCAATCAGCGATTTGTATGGTGAGATAAGTTTGTTGCTAAAAAAGCACTTGCTTGACTTTTCACTATTCCAATAAGGGGTTTGACAACCTTAAATCAAATGACTATCTATTTAGAGGCCGTTTGGAAGCACTTTTTTTTTTTCAATTTATCAATCTTATCAGCCAACTTCTTTACCATACACATAATTTTTACTTTCGCGCGTTGAATGGTGTAATAAGCTGAAAAAGTAAGGTTAGATCTACTTTTGTGGCCGTATTGGCTGAAGTTACTGTAGATGATCATTTTAGCTATTTTTACATATAAAGCATGTAGAGATGATTATTCATAGAAACATGTCAATTGAGCTCATTTTTTTCTTGGGAAAACTGTCAAATAGGTCCTTCTATAGGAGTCCTTCTATAGGAGTTTTTGTCCGGCCGTCGTGATTTGGGGCAGTTCCCGGTGGAATTTTTTGATGAAATTTTTTGAGCTCATCTGCCAAACCCTCTGATAGGTAGTTCATAAATATTACTCCGTCCCGCTATGATTGTCCCATTTTACCTTTTCGGTCCGTCCCATTAAGATTGTCTCATACCCTATTTGGTAAAGTTTGTGTGGTTCTAAATGATTCTACTTTATTCTTACTTTATCAATTCAATATCAATCACATAAACCTACTTTTATTAATAACCGTGTCACTTTCTCTTGTCCCAAACTTAGGGGACGGAGGTAGGACAATCAAAATCCCAGGTTTAGACGGTGACCTCCCGAGTCTCCGAGCGTTGTTTCATCACACCTCTGAATAGCCGACCTCTCTCATCTCTTGTAAACATTCTCCACATGGTGAAATCATCATGCACTTTCAAACCTCTTGCAATGATGTTTTCCCGGTTGAAATCATCGGTCATTTCTAGGGCTGCACATCGGGCGGGTTAGGTCGGGTTTGCTATTTCTTTTAGCCTACCCGATTTGTTCGGGTTGACTATTAACCAACCCGCGATATGCAAAATAAGTTGGCAAACCATGCATGAACGAGTCGGGTAGGGTTGGGTATTGGGGGGAAAAATCATTTCGGGTTGCATCTTTCATGTGAGAAATTAATGTAACCAATTTAAAATTCGATTAACTTATTTCCAAAACACACAAACAAATACAAGTACTCGTGTTTTTTATAAGCAAAAACATTACTACCTCCGTCCCATATTTATCTTCATAGTTCGGTTTACGATGCTTGACTGACGATAAAGCAACTCGATCCCTGTTCACACTCGGATTATTTTTAGTAAATAAAATTTACATATTCAGAAACTACATTAAAACCGCTACAAAGCCTGATCAAGAAAATTTAAGTTTGATAAAAATTTGATATATAAAGTAAAAGATTAAGAGTAATTTGAGTTGACCATGTGAATAGTAACTATGAAGATAATTTTGGGACGGAGGGAGTATTTAATAGTATAAAACATCCTTCCGTAAAGGAAGTTCATTTAGAAGGAAAAGTAAATACGGAGTATATAATAATCACCTAGTCAAAATGATAAATGTTTAATTATAATTCTAATATCATAAAGTCCTAGATAGAGCACATTGGTCTTAAATTGGAATTTTCCAAGAAAACATTGAGCATAATAATAGTAAAATGAACTTCGGCCGGGTCGGGTACTATCAGGTTTGAGATTTTATTCCGCAACTCTACCCATTAGATGCGGGTTCAAACATATTTAACCCATGAGTATTTTTAAAAATCAAATACCCGATTAAATAGGGTCGGGTAGGGTTGGATCAGGCAAATTATGCGGGTTCGGGTTATTCTTGTGCAGCCCTAGTCATTTCTTCCAACTCGAATCGACTCAGATGCTTCACCTCGCCCGGATCTATCCCTTGAATTTTATCCCTGTTGAATGGTCTGTGGGGTAATCCAGCCCATCTATTATCGATTTACCTGATCACCAGAAAGGGATAATCTATGCATTCAATATCCCTCAACTCGTTCAAGAACTTTATCCTTTCTTCTCCTTCTCCCATATTGCGCGGTCTCCTTCGTCGTTGGCGAAGGTTAGATTGTCACGACAAAGAAATCTCTGCATTAACGGAATACATACTCTGGGACGAGAACCTTAGTACTGTTGAAAGACACTCCAAGAAAAATTAATAAATTAAATTGCTGCAGCTTGACTCGTGCATTAAATGAATGAGGAGTAAGGCTTAAATAGCAATTACAACGCTGAAATATTAGCATATATACGATTACCAGTAACTAACATGTCTAGAAACGTGGCTATAGTGAGTCTAGTGACTTCAATAGATGACTACCAAACAGATAATTTAATGGAACAAATATGAACAATTCAGCTACTAAAAACCAGGTAATTCACAAACTTAGACTTTTTCAAAAATATGAGTAATGAACTTGGTAATCACTCGTGCATGTTAGGCCCGGGATACTTACAGCTAAACCGGCCCATGATCAACAGGGTATACATGCGTGGGCTGACACGCAGGCCCAACTCGGGCACCCCCAATTGCTTGCTTCTCGATGCACCCGCAGATGGCAAGGCTTCCCGGTCAAATATGCTGGCCGAAGTAGAATGGAAAGAGGAGCTAGGAAAATTAAATGTGAATAATTTTGTTTCCTTCTAAAAAGTACTTACCTTGTAACTTTTTTTTTTTTTGCATATCCTTCTAAACCTTGTAACTTAATAGCATACGGATTAACATAAATATGGGGATCTTGATAGGGAAAAGACTCACTCACAATCGACAACCCTTATTTTCATTTGTTTTCTCAGATCTATAATATTCATAATTTTAGCTCTCGTTTATTAGAGGATCTCAATTTATTGCTTTATTGATGAGTGAAATAAAAGAAGAGTACAAATGGAGAAAACAAAGGAAAATAAAGAAAAAACAAAAGCAGCCCTAACTACATAAAATATACCAACCCTAATTGCAATAGATGAAACCTCCCTAGAAAAAAATAATTCCGAGAAGTCAATAGAACTCCATTTGAGATTGAGATCTCGTTTTCATGGGATGTGATCGCTGATACTTTTTGCGATACATTTTCATTTGAGTGTTGAGGTTCTGTGTAGGCAAGCAATTTTCTATCGTGATCAGAAGTGCCTTGTTGCAAATGTCCTCATTTGTATCAGAGTCCCATAAATCCTCGATGCCAGAAATGGGAGTTCGCTTCTCACTCTCTGAAGCATGACCCATGAATTCATCTCCCGAGTATGATAAAACTTTATCAGTAATAATATCATCACAAGCAATCCCTACATAGCACTGATGATCTGTAGCAACATATGTCAATAACTTTACCTTGTGAGTGGTTTTCTCTGTCAATTTCGTATCCAATAAGTCTCGTTTATCCAAACATGAGACAACAATTCGTTTAAACTCTTTAATAAGGAAATGTGAGAGTGATTCTACCCCAGTAGTCATAGTGGTCTGAAAAAATAGTTGAAACAAAACTAGTTGATCCTTTAAGTAATGTTCAAAATATTAATATGAAATAGGAGTAGGAATTAATTAATATTCAAGGAAGAAGATTAAAGAAAATAACTCACAACTTACAATTCATTAAGCTTCAAAGTAGCAAAACCAAGATGGAAGAGTTTAGCTCCTCATTTGAGACTAAATATGATATAAAATATAAAGAAAACACTAATCTAAACTGAGCTAAAGAGTATATGTGCATTGGTTAATTAATGAGGAGGAAATGGGGTATATTTATAGGTTTTTTAGGTTTGCAGGGTCGTGTACCCGATCGGGCTGTAAGGGCACTCGATCGGGTACTCGGTTGCTTCGCGGAAGTATAAAAAATTGGGACATACCCGATCGGGTATGTCGGCCACCCGATAAGGTATGAACACTCGATCGTGGTCAAAATCTCCCCTGCATGTTGCCTTGTTCCCGGGTTGATCCGATTTGATTTTTCAGCGACTTAACCGATCGGGTATAGGTCATACCCGACCGGGTACAACACAAAAAATCAGAATCTTCAATTTGTCTTGAGATTTTTTGCACCTTCCTTCCATTTGTGATGTTCACCAATGGTCTCTAGAGTGATCTTGGACCTGTTTGAGCTCAGAATAAACCTAATCTATACAAATTACAAACATTTTTACAAACTAAACTATTACACCAAAAGTGTGTAATTTCCAAAGTAACAATCAATCTAAACTAATTAAAAACACAAACATAAACATGGAAATTACATGAATGTCAACTCCCCCACATTTAGTTCCTTTACTCGACCTCAAGTAAAACCAAATGTTTATACAATTTTCATCAAAAGATCATAAGTTCAAAGATGGTAAAAAATAAGAAACTAAGACCACCAAGTATTGTAAATGAGTTTACAAAACAACATTTCCTTGGGTTTAAGGGTCTTCTATGTTCCTTACTTCTTCTTTTTCTCTTCTTCTTCTTTTCTTCATCTTCTTCTCCAAGAGATGATGTCCTGCAAAAAACAAATTTTTCTCTCATATACTTCCTCCGTATCTAAATAATTGCAACACTTCCCTTTTTTTGGATATTGTTCTCTCACATATATTTAGAGACAGAGGATAGTATCTCATTTTGCCTAGAAGCCTTTTCAGGTTTTCATCCTAGCATCTCTTTTCTTTTTCTTTCCTCACTACTGACTCATCAATTTTTTTTAAGCCCTTCTTGCTTAGATTGCACATTTTTTGGGTTTTCAACCTAACTAGCATTTTATTTCTTTTATTTATTCATTTTTTTGTGTACAACTAGTACAAGAAAGTAATGCTTAGTATAAGGTAAAAACAAAGGGCATGTAACATACCAAGAGATGAATCTTCCTCCTCCACACTTGAGGCATGACACTATCCCTAGTACCCTCCGGGACCGCCCTAAAAGCCTCCTCCAAAGCCGCTCTCATGAACATCATCACCGCCTCCCTCTCCCATAGTCATGTCCCCGCCATCGTACCCTCCACCGCCGGAACTAGAAACACCAAAACTACCCCAATCGGAGGGGTTATACCAAGAAGGTGCTGGTGGTGGTGAAGTCATAGATGAAAAACCGGCTAGGTGGGACATGTGTGAATATGTGGGCCCATACATCCTCCGGTAGTCTTCTTCATACCGTTGCATGTCGGCCACTCGTTGTTCCTCCATCCTTTGAAATGCCGCTTGTTGCTCCGCCTGGAATTCATCAAATTGCCGGTCTCTTTCCCGTTGTTCCTCCCGGTAGTGGCCTATCTCTTCTTGAAGTTGGGCGAATTGCCCTCCCATCTTTGTGTACTCGAGGCCCATGTTTTGAAACCCGGTTAGGAGAGATTATTGACCCGCCAAGAGTTGTTGGAAGAAGTCTTGCGGTGGTGGGTTTTGAGGGGGATCGGGGATGTGATGTGGGGCATGTTCATGTCCCTCTTGGTGCTCGACTTGCTCCGGTTGGTGGTCGGGTTGTTGCTCGGCTTGTTTGACTTGAGGTCAGAGGTGTGGTGGGATGTTGTTGGGGAGAAGGTAGTGTGGAATGTCGAAGGGCTCCAATTTGTACCTAAGTCTAAGTAATTCGTCGCATGGGAGAGGAAAATATTTAATGGTTCGGGGTACTTTGATAACCGCTTTCGCGGCGTTGTAGTAAAACAGAGTCTAACCTTTCGGTTTTTCCCCGAGTATCGTGTCTCTTGAGGAATGGCGGAGAAGTCTCTTAATTTAATTTTAGTCACGGGCTATCGCTAATCGTTGGAAGCTTTTTCAATATAGGAAAGTGGTTGTGTTCTAAATTATGCCAGTTTATAAGTAAGAGCTAGGTTCAATTTAAAGATTAATGTCCAAAAATTAAGTGTTCTAAAGATTGATGCAAATAAGGGCAATGAATTGAGTAATTAGAAATGGATATGTTCTTGGACCTCTTAATTAGGGAAATTAAGACTAAGGTTGGACTAATAATTTCTTTCCTCATAGACAAGAATAGAAACTATCTTCATTAATTTATCCTATTTCTAGGTGTCATTAATGTGTTTAAAATGGTTGGCTTAAATTATATTCTAAACCCATAGACAAGGTAGAAATAATTTTCCAATATTTTAATTAATAAAAATAGCCAAATTCATTAACTAGTTAAACTCTTTATTTTAGCAACTGAATTTATTTCTCATAGACAAGATGTAAATCCTTTTCATTAAATTATCCTATTTCTAGGCCTTATTAATGTGCTCAAATATGGTTGGCTTAAATTAATTTCTAATCTCATAGACAAGTTAGAATTAATTTTCCAAGAATTTAATTAATGAAAATGGCTAACTATTATTAATTACTATTTCATCATTTTAAACAACTAGTCCAATTTATTAATTTTAACCCCTAATTTTAGGTCAACAAGTCAATCCATATTCCTTTTCTCAATTCATGCCCAAAACAAGTTTAGCTACTAAACATCATTTTTACAACTAACAATATAATGAGTATATTCAACATTAACAAGGAATTAAACATGGATGATAGCAAAATTTCAAACAAAACTTATATTCTGGGACAATAAACTTATAAGAACTAAAATATAATTTTCTGGAATTTTTCACGAATTAATAAATTTAAGATCCAATTTTAGCAACTAATTGATGATTTTCCCAATTTTAACTAGAAAATGCAAAAAGCAACTAAAAATACTCTAACTTGGTTATAAATTTTATTTTAACTACTGGTAGTGATATAACAATGAATTAAACTGAAATTAATGCCGAACTAATTTTTTTTTTCCTTTTTTGAGTATTTATTTTAATTTAAGCAATAATATCAAGTAATTACCGAAATTAATTAAAAATTACTTCTACTTCGTGAAAAATAAATTTCTTCAGATAAATAACTACCTTGAGGCTAGTGAACAACTATATAATTAATTGGAATGAATTCAACATCAATAACTATTTTATTTAATTTTTGGAAGTAAATGCGAAATACTTGAAAAATAATCTGGAAATTTTCGAAGAACAGATCGAAGAAACAAAGCACAGATTCAGATTCTACACGTTGAGAAGATGAAAATACATATAAAGAACTTACAATTTGGAGCTAAAATGAAGAAGATATGAAGATTTGAAGCTTTCTCTCTCTACTTGCTCTTGGAGCTCGAAAATAAATGAAGAAGAGGACTGTTGGAGACTGATTTAGGGTTGGGAATGATGTGTTTGAGTTCAGCAAAAATCGGGCTATTTATAGGAGGAAAAATCCCGTAGGCGCCCAAGAGGGCGGCCGCCCTCCGTCATTAACCGGCCGCCTACCGTCACGTCGCCGGCAACGAATCGTGGCCGCGTCCCGTCAGCCGCAGGCGGTCCAGAAGGCGGCCGCCTGCCGTTCCTGTCTGGCCGCCTGCCGTCCAGTCGCACCGGCCGGTGGTTGGTTTCGTCCCGTTGTGCCGCAGGCGGCCACTGAGGGCGGCCGCCCTTCGTCCTCCGTCGGCCGCCTTCTGTCTTTTACCGGCTCGGGTCAATTCTAAATGTTGACTTTTTTAATTTACCGTAGGCGGCCAACCAGGTGGCCATTTTGGGCGCCTATTTGGGCGCCCTCTGCCAAATTTGTCTGGTAATTCCTGCGGTTCCTGCTCTCCAAGATTGTCTTCTGGGTCACCTTGATAAAATGCATATTTCTTCCGGTATGACTTCATTTGTTACTCAAATTGACTCATTTTGTGCTCAATTGACCCGAAATTCCGGCAAACATACGATGAATGTGGTTTTCACCTGATTTCATGAAACTTGAACCAAAATATCTAAAACATGCCTTTTCTTTCTATTTTCAATCAAAAAATCGCTTAAATTTGATAAGAAAAATAAGTACAAAAATGGACTTATCATACTTCATGTGCCATTTATAGCGTTGGGTTCCATTGTGGTGTTTATTACCCAAAGAGATCAAGCCCGCATTGGATAACCATCCAATATGCATCAATGAATCTTAAGGAATTGGTGCATGATCTACATAGCCAAATTTGGAGGCCAAATGCATGATGACCCCCCCCCCCCCCCCCCCGGGACAATGTTCCCCCCTTTCGTGGTAGCCTTCTCTAGATGATCCCAAATTAAGTTGCAAATGTTGAACTCAACGCGATTTCGGAAGAGAGCAAGAGTGAGTATGACTACATCCCCTATTCGAGTGTGGTGGTTGTTGGGTCGGCCAAGCAAGGAGTTGCACATAAACTTTAGGAAAATCCGGAGAAGGGGATGTTGCACATGAATAATGTATAGTTGGGACATGCTAAAATTCAGTTCTCCGGTCATTTTGCCCCATAAGTTATATGCATCCATAGTATTGTCCGGGATCTCCCTCTCATGTGGCAATCGGAGCCCGAAATGCTCGGCAAAATCACGCCTCGTTATAGAATGTTCGGTGTTCATCAACCAAAACGAGAGTTTGTCATCATAAAAGTGGGTTTCATCAAACACAAACTTGGCCGAACTCAAGAATTCATATATGACCCTCTCAACACAATTATATTGCAAATTAAAAATCAAGGCCATATGCAATTCATCAAATAGCTCTCTCATACCATCCAACAAGCCTAGAGAAGTAAGAGCTTCATGGCATAAAAATCGAGAGGGAATGACTTGCCTTTTTAGTATAGCCACGAAGTGCTTGCGATGATCCCCCTGGTCGAAATGAACATCCTCATAGCCTCGAATAGGTCCCCTTGTGTTGGAGCTCTCCGATTGGTTCCTCTTTGGTGCCATTGTTGAGCAAATTGGAGGCTTGGATTCGGACTTGGGGTTTGGGGGGTAGGGTTTCGGTTTTCTGAAAATAGGGAGAGGAGGTGGGATTGACTGGTATGAGGTTGTAAAGGAGAGTAAGGGGAGTGTTTTGGTGGTGGTTTGATGGGATTTGGTTGAGTTTTGGTTGAGTTATAGGAGAAATAAGGTTCAAAAATGGAGTTTTTTGAGAGGGGGTTCGAGTTTGGGGTAGGAGATTTGGGGAAGATGAACTGATTTCGGCTTCAAATTTGGGTTTAAAACTCGTGTACCCTATCGAGTACCCCAATTACCCGATCGGGTATGCTTAGTTTTGTTCTTGTTCCGGGATCGGGTTCGATCGAGTATACCCTGTACTCGATCGAATTTTCTTCGCCGTAGCTTATTTCAGAAATATACTCGATCGAGTATATTAATATACCCGATCGGGTATAGTCATTTTTTTTTTCAAAAATGGTTCCAGGGTTGTGCCCCTGATCGAGTATGGGGTATACTCGATCGGATTTTCCTCGCCGTAGGATTTTTTAGAAATATACTCGATCGAGTATATAAATGAGAAAAGGGTCAAATAAGGCCTTCTACTATTATGAAATAGTCACATAAGGCCATATACTCAATAAAGTGTCATATAGGTACCTCTACTTGTAAAAAGCAATCAAATGGGTCCTAATGACCTATTTAACACCTCTTAATCCCGGTTTTAGCGTACTTCTGACCATCTTTTTCGAATAGAATATACTGTTGGAAAAATGTGTGAAAAATTGCATTAGATGGTAATTTTGGGGCAATTTTTTGAATGGGGTCCACTTCCGATTTGGGTCGGGTCAAAGTGGGTTCGGATTGTCCTTGTTAAGGGCTACAATTCGATATATGGTACGCTCAAAACGGATAACGAGTGAATGAGAAATCGCTTTTCGAAGTTTACCCGTTAGAATGGAAAAACTAGGAAAAAGGATGGGTTTCTAGTGTGTTATTTCCCACACCGGAAAACCCAAGGGATTTGCAACCCTTTATAAAGGGACTCCCCCCTTAAGGAGTTAAGATTCCTTAGGGTAAAGGCTCTCTCCATGCGCGCAGGGGGGGTGCAAATAAGATCCCGAAATCGGAGAATAAAAACCGCGACTTGCGTGCGCGGGCGACCTGCGGACACGAGTGTCGTCCAAAAATCTATCTCTCAAGAGATACGATTAATTTTTGTTTTCTTCCCGAAACATTTATTTTTTCCCAGCGGCAGAAGTGCTCCGAACAGAAGGCCTCGACCAGAACACCTCGGTACGGACAGAACCCCTCGAAGGGGTGTTCTGTTGGCTTCGCACAGAACCCCTCGAAGGGGTGTTCTGTTGGGGGGTCTTCTGTCGCGCATCTGAACCGTTACAACAATAAATGCCCAACATTCTTATCTTTTAATGCAACGTTAAATGGACAGTTCATGGACGATTCAATGCCCAACGGACTGCTCATTGATGTCCAACGTTCAGGTCCATTAATTCACCATTTACACACAACAAATCCTCCTATATGATAGCAAGTGTTCATACTGTGTTCTCGTTCGCTGGAACTCTTGTTTGTGTGCTCAAACACTAGTTCGTAGTCATCGTATCCTGGGAAACGATTGTTGCAATGCTCCTAACACCGTGGGAGGCAACAAATACGTTTTAAGGACATCGTGCGTAGCACGAGCTTTGACTAATTCTGCTTCATTTCCTTTCTTGTTTTTCTCTAGTCATTTTATTTAATTAATTTATTTTAATTAATTTTCTTTACTTTCCGAAACACACCCAACATATACGGCATACGTCGAATATTTAACTAAGATTGGTTGAAATACAAGTCAAAAAATTCGACATGTAAGCTAAAACCGGGATTAGAAGGTTGTAAATAGATCGCTATGACTCATTTGATTGTTTTTACAAGTAGAGGTACTTATATGACACTTTATTGAGTACATGGCCTTATGTGACTGTTTCATAATAGTAGAAGGCCTTATTTGACCCTTTTCTCTATATAAATATACCCGATCGGGCATGGCGTCGGAATTTCAAATTGGGTCCAGGGGTCGAGTACCCGATCGAGTATGTGGTATACCCGATCAGGTATTCGACCATTTTTCGTCCTTTTGATCGATCGAGTACAGGCCCCAATCTTTCCTTTTTTACCTTGTACCCGACCGAGTAGGGGTGTTACCCGATCGGGTACATGACCCTGGAATTTTGTTTGGTCCATTTTTAGCTTGGATCCAAACGGGCGGGTGATTATGCCTTATTGGATGTTTCCGTGACTTTTGAAAACCTGATTATTGATGTGAGTTTTCTCGCACTTAAAATAGATCGTAATATAGTGGTGTAAGTACGAGTATCGTCTCCACAGGGACGGACAAAAGGGAATCAAGAATTAATTAAATTCAGCGATT